CAAAGATACCTCATTGATGTTGAGGAACAGAGCCACTTTCAAACGAGGAGCTGCGAGTATTGGTAACGTCTTTAGTAACTGACAAACATCTTGCCAATAACTTGGAGACGCTTCTTATGCCTCTAGATCTGCGTAAGGCCTATGACACTAACACTATCTAAGCAATGGATGGCAATAGAGAAACAAGATGTAAATACTCAATTGATTATGGCTGTTAAAGGTTTGTGGGGGTAACGAGCCACATAAAAGTAGGGAGAAACATTTCAGCACAATTTCCAGTAAATAAAGGTTTATGACAGAGGTTCTGTGTTACCCCAATTTTGTTGAAAATATAGTTACTAAAGCCCTGAGAAGATAGAGGAAGAAATGTAGAAATATTGATATTTTTTCTTCACCCCCCCCCCCTGAATTTGTTGCATCGTCGTTGACTCAACGCGTCTCTTTAATCCTTGGGTGTTGAGCGCTTGCCCTGGAGTAATCCTCCATTCTTAATGGGAAGTAATTACTATCTTAGTCAAGTCAAGTCTCGTCACGTCGGTCAGTCAGTGCCTTTTATCCCTTCGGCCAGGAGCTCCGAGCCGGCCACCCAACCAGGAGCCCGCGAGTCTCGAATTCGCTCATCTCCGTGACTTCGTGGAGCGTTGTGAACGAATTTGGATAACGACGCTGGCTATTAACATTGGTGACTGTGTCATTCTCTCTAATCTTCGCTGAAGGTGAAGACAACGCTCCGTATATAATTAAAATTATAACAAGAGAACTCGAAATCGGTATTAGAAATAAACCTTAACAAGTCTGAGTATATGGCTGTAGGAGGAAGCGCTAAAGGTCTGAAACTGGATGCTGGTTTGGAAGTAAAACCCTGCCAAAAATCCACATACCTAGGTACAAAGCAGTAAGCAAGATATTAAAAACAGAATTGCTAAAGGCAGAGTACCTATAAGACAATTACATTCACTGACATGGAAAGATAAATTAAGTAAGAGGGTAAAAAGAAAGTTGTATAAGACGTTGTTGAGAATATTGTCCTTTATGGATCTGAGTATGGGAAGTAACAAGAGTGTTAAGAAAGAAGAAAAAAGACAATAATTAAAATGGACTTCTGGCGCCCAAGTTGCGGACTGCCTTAAATGAATAAAGTTAAGAACGTAGCAATTAAATGTAAAGTGAAAGTAAGATTATATAATTAACACCCTAGAAGTGAAAACACGAAAATGGTATGGGCACATGCAAAGAATCAACAACACAAATTGGCCGAAAATATTGTGGAAATGGCAACTTGCTACCCATTGAAAAAGACGAAGCCATAGACTTACATGGGGAGAAGAGGCAATGGGTGAAAAGAAGATTGAATAAAAAAGACTACACCGACAGAGAGATAAGAAAGTAGAGATGTGAGAGAAACCCTAGGATATGATGAACCTTCTATAGGTGTACTTTTGATGTGTTGAAAATAATGTGTTAAATTTAAAAAGGCATGTTGTTGAGAATTATTCTTATTGCAATAAGAATTTCAAAGTTAGGAATTTTCAAAGGTCTTCTAGATTTCTCAATTTTTTCTCTAAGATATCATAAATTAAATAATGTGTCAATGACGGAAAACATAGAAACAATGTCAAGTGATACCATTATGAAGTTATTGGGAATACATATTTCACATACTTCATTTATAGGCAAATATATAAATATATAGATATATATAGATAAATATAGACTCATATAAAAAGAAGAAAAAGTTTTTAAGGAATTTTAATTTGAATAACATTATTTGAAGTTTTAATTTAAAGTAACAGATTTATTAAGAAAAAGTCTATCTGCAGTATTTCTGAGAAAATTTTAAACTTTTGAAATTTTCAAAACTTTAGAGAATTTCATGAAAATCAGACCTAAGCCATTTTTATCTGATTACTTTGCTCTATCTGGAAAAAAATTCAAGCCATTTTTTAGGCTGTTTTTACATTACTTTCATGCAAAATTAGGTAAAAACTGCTCATATTTTGAAAACAATTCCATATTAAAGATCTATTTTCAAAGAACTGATTTCATTATTAAAGCAATATAACAATTTAAGGAAGGTTTAACTTTCGAAATTGTTGACAATTAGAAGAATTCAACAAAAATAGAATTTGTGTCATTTTTATAAGCACACTTTGCTCTACCTAAGAAAAAAATTTGAGAGCAATTTTCAAGAAAATTTTGAAAATGTCCTTGAATCTTAATGTAAAGTATACATAAAAATCAAAATATTTATTGCAAATTCAAGGGGCTGTGATATCTGCCAAACTGATCACGGAATATCAATTTTAGCAATATTTAAACTCCTGTTACCTTCAACATTTTTAAATCCTTTGGAAACTGGTTTGAAAATAAAATGAAATCTACTATTTCTTCATTGAAGACCTAATAGTGTTGAACGTTTCTTGATTGAGTGCTACAAATCCTCAATTCCAAAGAGCCTTATTGCATGTTAAAACAAATGCCTGTTTGTGTGTTTCTACTATTATTCCCCAACAGTATAAAATTTTCTTTTTAAAAATGTATTTATTTAAGGTAGCTTTTGAACAGCTAGGTCATCTACCAATCACCGTAGCATTTAACTTCGGGGTAACGATGTGGTAACATACTAACAACATACACAAACATCCATGTCCAGGATGGAGTTCGAACCTGCAACCCTTGAAGCTAGGCAGCTACAGCCCTTCAGCCTTTATGATCTTGGCTATCCAGGCTGGCTGGCTATCCAGGCAGGTTGGTTGGTTGGTTTGTTGTTATTGTTTCTGTGTGTGTCAACTACTGATGGTATTAGTCCCATAAGTGTGGTGCACGTGCTTTTTCTCTCAAGCAGTAGCAGTGGTTTTCCCCTGCTGGATGGCGAGATCCAGTGGCAACATACCATCAGCTAGGATTTCCGCCAACCAGGTATTTCCCATCAGCGGGGCGCCACTCCAGCCTGAACAAGCTCTAAGCTCCCGACTGGTTTCCCGGCATTTGTGGAGTGGAGTGCATTTTAGTGTAAGTGTGTGTAATGGGTGAGGATAGGACAAGGAAGAGGAAGAAAAGATAGCGCGTGTCCTTGGCTGTTTGTGAGGGTACAGCCCTGGCATTCGCCAGGTGTTGATCAGAGAAACCACAGAAAACTACCAATCAGAGCAGCCAGCCTCTAGGACTTTCCCCTAACAGCGACTGAATTTGACCTAGCTGGCAAACTAGTGTCGAAAATCTTAACACTCACTGTAGGGGCTCAAACCTAGGATTTCCCTATCAGAGGCACTGCAGTAACATCAGTTGAGGAACTGAGCCACCTCTCCCGGTCCCAGGCTGGCAGCATTAAATGATTATACTCATGACAATTATAATATTACAAATTATTACCAATTTGTTCTTTTTTCAAAAACCATCAAATACGAAAAACAAATTTTGCAGGAAAGCTTTATGGCCTAAGTGGCTTTATTCGTAAAGAAACTTAAAAACATTTCAAAAACAATTAGCATAAAAAATATACTTTTGCATACAAACATGGACTCTAATGATAAGAAAATTAAAACCTTGAGTAACATCTACTAGCCATAAAATGTTGCACTAAAATAGTTCAGAAAAATATTACTTCAGAATGAGATAACAATATCAAACCCTATAGAAATTGGGAACGTGAAGCTTTCATGAGATTGGATATAAAAATTTCCAGCACTCTTGTTATGAGAAAAATTGTCTGTCTCAACTCCCAAGAAAAGACATGTATGCTAAACCATAGAAAGAAATTCAAATTCAAAATCATTGAATGCATTTAAATCATTCAAAAATTCATTGTGTCTTACTTTTGTTATGAAATGTGAATATGGTAAAAATGCTTGCAGGCCAACGTGACAAAACAGTAAAGAGGCAAGGAAATGATGTTTCCATGTTAATTGTGAATGACCAGATCCTCTTTTCTTCATGTTTCTATCTGAAAGTAAAAGTTGAGAAGTAATAGTCGCAGCAGTAATAAATAATAATAATAATATGCATCACACCACACATCAAAGTAATAACAACAACAAAACAATAATAATAATAGATAAATAATAATAATAGATAATAATGAATAATTAATAATAATAATGCGATAATAATAATAAGTGAATAACCGCACATAATTATGAAAAAATTTACACAAACATTTGTGAAAAGTCAAAAAAGTAAAAATAATTTATTTTATAAAAATTCTCTACATTTCAAAAACCAATTAAATTAGCAAAACTCACCATTTTTAGGAGTATCTGAGATGTCTGTATAAATGCAATTCTTATTTTCATAAAGAATTGTTTGGTCAGAATTCTTCCACAATTTATGTTTTAAACGTCGGGGCCAGTCAGAATGACTAAAGAGAGGTAGTGTAGAAAGACACACATACGGAAACATTCCTGTTTTGAAAGCCATGGACATTCGTTCATTATTGTGTATGAAATAAAGTAGCTAGCATAATACATAAGAACAGTTCTCTAACTTCTGATATCACAGAGACAGTTTTTACTTAAGATCAGTACCGCAGAGTTCTTAGTAACACAATCCAATAAATTAATTACTTCAGGCAATTCCAAAGTGACAGTGTATTTGGTTACTGTCTGGATGTATTGAAGAATTTTCTTCATTGAACCTCTGCGGTATTTCAGAAACATTCAATGCAGGGTATGCAGGGCTGGATTAAAATCCTAAATCTAAGCTTGAACAAATTATAAATTCCCCAAATATTACTGCACTACTGTGCATGTGTGATGAAAATTAATATGAAAAATAAATGTACTAACTTATGTAAAGAACACAATCAATATTAAAATATTTTCAGACACCAACTAATATAAAATGTTGTTACTAAATTATTTAGAGACTGCTCTCCAGCAAGGACCCCAAACATATGCTCAGCCTACTTATATGTTAATCCAGCCCTGCATAGGTTATCATATTCATGAAGCACATTATGAGAACTACACATATAAAAACACCATATCAAAGTTTTCAAATACCTATAGAGAAAAGTCGAGAGTTCATGAGATGAAATGATGAACAAAAGAAGAAAGCAAATGGTCTAGTTTTGTCAAAAAGAAGCCAAAATCCAATAGTTAAATCAAGTAAAAAGCCGCTTAGATGTACTATATAATAATCCACTTGTTCAGGGGACAAAATAAGCCTGAAAAATAGTCATCTATTTACAATTCTAATATTGTTTTCTAAATTTTGTATTAGAAGAATGAAGCACATAGGTAATACATTAAAAAAACAGCAGATGTTAACAAAACTATGAGATAAATAGATTCTTAAAATGAACATTACTTGAATGGTTCAAAGATCCAATGTTGATTTAAGTGTGTCATAGAGTAACCTTCAAGCCAATCTTTATCAATCTTTTTTAAACCAGCAAAGAAATAAAGAATAAAGAATTGGAATCGCAAAATTGCATAATTCCAAAGAGGCACATGAGTATTTGTTTTCACTCTGCCTAAATACCCATCAAGAGACCTAAAATTAAACAAGAAAAGTGAATGACATTAGAATATACACTTTACAATATTTCATGTATATAATGCTAATGAAAAACAAATAACCAATCAAAATTGATAAGTTGAAACAGGGAAAGTCAACAAACAAGATAAATTCAAATCTTAAGTAAATTTGTATTCTTACCAAAAATGATTAGCATTTGTGCCCAAAAAGAGGATTCCAGTGATTCCATATAAATATGAATGATTATTCCATACAGATTTATCAAGTAAAAATATATACCAGTATGGAATTATAAATGCTAAACAACTGAGATGATACATAAACCCAAGCATAATACCAACCGCTCCTGCAAAATTATTTTAGAGGAAGAAAACATTTTTGATAAATTGTGTAAATGAATTGGTATAATTTTTCACTTAAAATAACATACCAAGCCACATAACGAGATAAACAATTCCCATCCAGGGCAATGGTAATGGAACGAGAAAGTTGAATAGTGGGAAGTGACAGAATCTTGGATCACCCCATTTAACATCTATATCTGCTAAACCTCGTTCTTCAGGAATGTCAAGAACCATAAGGAAACCTGTCAGTGAAAGGAACATTACATTAATCATTGTTATTAAAACAAATATAAAATAATTTTGTCATACATTTCTCTTACAGCTTTGATAAACTTCATAAATCAAGAAAAATAATTTAAAGAATCCTTACCAAACAATGCACGTACAACTCCTAGACATGCTGGGTCCATAGGTCGGTACAGAACCTTAACTATATTCTGCCAACTCGAAATATCTTCAAACGAGATTCCTAAAAAGCGGTTCTGAAAAGAATAAGTCGCTGAATTCTCATAGCAATTTTCTCCCTTCACCTTCATGCTACTTTGTTCCTTTGGATCTGCAATTTCATTCACACTTGAGGTTAAATGCTTTCTTTTCTTCAATTTCTTCGTTATCATTTTTACACCTACTTTTAGCCTCGTACAATGTCACAATTTTTACTTTTCAGATTTCGACGTGGACGTTCTTAAAGTACTTCTCTCAGAACTGCCAGTTTACTTCTGCTTTATTCTACATCTCGACCGTTACCATGGCAACCGACCAGTTTCCTCTTTCGGCTACAGCGCTCTCTCGGTACGTAGGCGTGTTATGAAGATCGATAATTGATTAGATAAACTGGTAAATGGATTTACCGTTGCCGTGGAAACAATGACGTCTTATCTAGAGCGGGATTTCGAAGAGCTCCTACATATAATTCACACAAATGCGTAGCAAGAAATGTGGGACGTAATGTGAAAAAATTCCGGTGAGAATGCATCCGAAGGGATCTTTTACATACAATGGTTTTCAGGCAGAATTTATTTCTCCACTTCTACGCCTTTGGGGCCTCTATAACCCACCCCCAAGACAGCTGAAGAGTGCATCTGCTCTCTGATTAACTGCGAGATGGAAGCAGAGAGCAGAGTGCGGGTGGGAGTGAAGTGAGCCTACAGCGAGACAAAGCGAACCCACCCATAATCGAAATAATACCACCATGAGTCCACCTCTCTCTTTCCACCAAGCAGTATGCACATGCAACAAATTGGAAGTGGTCGTAAACAAATATTTCGCTTTAAGTCCTCGCATTGTGTGACTTTTTATTAAGTTTGTAAGGCTCACAACTAAAAGGCGCTGAATTCGAAAACTCAAGACTGTTCAGTAACCTACAGTATCGCTTATGTTCCTATTCGCTTTGGTACCTCACTCAAGCTGGCACCCCCACTTCTAAAAAAATCGTCATCCACTAGCCTATAGTTTTGTATATATATATATATATATATATATATATATATATATATATATATATATATATATATATATAATATATATATATATATAAAAAAAAAAAACCTCAATTACAAAAAACAATTTTAAAAAAAAATGCAAAGTGGAGATGGCAGCCTGATGTCAAGATTGAAACTCCACTTACCACAAATTCGAAATAAACTAGCTTATGATTGTCTATTAATTATGTAATAATTTTGTAACAAAATAAAAAAAAAATGTACTCAACTATAAACAATTAAAAAATGGGTACCAATGAAGCACTGCACGTAAATGTTTTTGTACCCATTTTTAATCAAATCTTGTTGTTGAAATTTATATTGGTTTAGTAATCTCAATATAAACTGTTTGTCAAAATCAAGTAATGAGGAACTATTCAAAAACTTACTTAAATCTTTCAACTTACAAACTATTATAAATTAACCTACCAGATTATCTAAAAAATAAAAAAATAAAAAAAAAAACGGTACTGTAATTGATCAAATTATAATAGACAAAATGATTACAGCTATTCAGTTGTTCCATTCAACACAGGGTTTAGTGACTATCCAGTGCAAATTCTCAAACTCAACAAGACAAATTTAACTTTTTAATAAGTTCAGAAACTGGGAGGAAGTGTACAAAGCAAACAGACACAAATATTAAATTTCACTTATTCATAAATATATTCCAAAGTTATTTCAACACTGTCTTCCTACAGACATTGAAGAAAATAAAAAACAAAAACCACAATCATGGATAACAAAAGGATCAAAACACCATTTGAAAGGAAATGAATCACACATTACACAATCCTTTACCACGAATGTAGTTCTGATTTCATTGTTTATTACAAAACATACAAAATTATCATGAAGAAAGTAATTAAACATGCCAAACTGTTAATGAATGATCAACACATTACCAAAATACAAAACAAAATCAATGTGGAACATTGTGAAAAATACTCTAAATTCAGAAGACAGAATCACTAAGAGCATTTAACTTCTCTATAAAATTAATGTTCTCTGCAACCCATAAGCAGTAGTATACGCATTCAATAGACATTTCTCAAAAATTGGACTGGACTAATTCACTGCAACTCTTGTTGTTTTACACATAAGGGTATTTACTTAAAAATTACACCCTACTAAAAACCATAATTTTGTGTATTTTCCAAATTTTAAACTGTAATAGCTGTTGAGGGGAACAGAAAAAAATTTAAAATTATCACATTGAAAATATCACTATGGCACCAAACAGCAGTATAAATTACAACTTTGAAATTTTACTCAAAGTTGGTTGGAAAAATTCCTAAACTTACGCCCAATGTGTTTCCTTGGCACCCATTTTTTAAATTATTTATTGTTGAGTACAACGTTTTTATTATGGTAAAAAAATTATATTTAGTGCAAAATTGTAGGCTAGCTGATTTTGAATATCTGAAAAGTGGGGGTGACACGGCGGATGTTTTGTTTTGAACAGCATCCCATTTTTCGGGTTTGTAGACTGTAATATTGGGAGACCAGACAAAATTTTGAAATTATCATAAGTAAAAGACCACTAGTATAATATAATACCAATAAGCACTATAAAATTTCCAATCCAAGATTTTACTCAAAGTGGGAATGAAAAAAAAAGTTAATTTTTCGCGCAAAATGATTCATTGGCATAGTTGAGTACAAACATTTTTGTTTTGGTACAAAAATAGTACATAATGAGTAGGCAATAATGGGGTAGTTCATTTTAAATTTCTGATAAGTGGGTGTGCCACCTTGACGTCAAGTTGGCACCCCCACTTTTGCAGGTCGTTTTTTAATTGTTTGAAATCGAGTACTTTTTATTTTTATTTTGGTACAACACTATAGGCTAGTTTATTTTGAATTTCTGACAACTGTGGGTGCCAGCTTGACGGAGGCCGCTTTGGTCTAGAGTATGGCGAGCAAGGTCATACTAGGATTTATTTAACCGCTCATTTGGCGTAAATCAGCTGTTCACGGTTTTATCCAATCGGATCCCAATTGGATGAAACCGCAACACCTGATTTAAGTCAAGTGCACGACTAAATATATCGTACTATAGCTAAAGCTAGATTTAAGGCTCTCACAGACCGGCGCGGGAGATCCGCAGCGGGTGCGGCGCGGAACGCTCCGCGCGAGACGCGGCGGCGGAATCTGCGGGACCGTCGACATCGGAGCGTCAGATATGACTCAGCGTTCGGTGACAGTTTTCCGCAACTAAAATAAACAAAAGCAAGGGGGAGCGAGGACTCCCGAAGGCGGGCGAACTTCGAAACTCGAGCGGCAGCGGTCGAAACGCGTTCGACTGCATTCCCAAATCCGCAGGTAAGAAAATGCCTGCCGCGCAGATCTGAACGTGCTCATAGGGCGACCCGTGACGCGAAATTTACTCTGCGGCCATTCCGCTTAGGCTGCGTAAAAATACCGACACACACTCAAAAAAAAGAAACACACACACACACTAGCAACAACAACAAAAAACAACGGAAAGATTTGGCGTGGAGATGGCTGTAATAAATTTTCAAAAGGTTAAACAATTGTTAGAAAAGAATACTATTGGAAATTCACATACTGTATCAACTTTGTTTACATTGGCCTAACCAGCCATACGAATTTCAGGAAATAAGTGGCAGACGTTAGTGTAGGAAATCCAAAAGAAATTGCACAATATCATGGGTAAAAGAAAAAAAAGTTGGTTATCAACCAACAAAAAATCGAAAACTTTGCATTTCAGATGTAAGAGGTTTGCTTGATAAAATATTAAGACAGTTTCTATTACAATATAAACAGCATTTTCAATACCAGTATTATTTTCTGATTAATAAAATGTAACTAAATAGGCAATTCGGTTCCTCTAGGCTATAGATATTGTGAAATGAGGGGAAAAAACAAAAATAAAAAAGAAATGTTGGAGCTCAAATCCAAATCAATTATATTTTCTGTAGACATTACACATGTTTGTTTACTAGGTAAGGGTAGTAGCAGATGGGGAAGTGAACCTACAAAAAAAGATAAACTTTATAAATAAAAATCAAATACAGTTAAGATGTCTTATGGCTTTATTTTCTTTCAATGCAATATGAACACTAACTTGCACAGCACAACATATGTGTAATTGCATCATAGCATACATTCTTTTTTAATCCATAAGAAAATAAACAAAGATTATTCAACATCCATTTTAACCTGCAATAAAAAGGGAATTATATATCTATTCTACACGAGGAAACATTCACATCCTTGTTATTTTTTAATAATCCTTGAAATTTTCACAAGTTCTTACAACTGTGGTTTCATTTTCACACATCACTTTCTTAAGTTGCACATTCACTTCCTACTTAAGGAAAGCACAAATTGCAACCCATTCATTCTGCTGAAACTCTCTCAAACTTCAATAAAAGAACTTAAAGTAAATAGTAATGGCTAATGTCCAGATTCCACACTTTTAAAACCTATACATGTATTGTATATATTCTTTATAAATTAGACTAGCCTCTAATGTACATTTGCAGCAGAAGGGAAATACTCACTCCCTATCCCTTTTTATTTGAAACACCTTTTAAAAGCAATAAAGCTTGCAATAAGCTTTTTTGATTTTTACACCATAACAATCTATATTTCTCATTTTTTTGAGAGTTTACTTTGTAGTTTAGAGCAAATTGCTCCAAACTCCAATTATAATGCCATACATAAACATATTGCAACGAATACAAAAATGATTCAAATGATATAAGAGTTAGTAAAGTTGAAAAATTAATGTTTTTTGGAACCAGAGGCAGAGTGTAACAGACCTCCAACCAAGAACAGCTGTAGATTAATGCAAAAGTTCTAATGTTGATAATTTCCAAAGTTATAATTAAAAATATAAGTGGAGAGAAGTATTATAGTTGACATTAGTGTTGCTGGTATTTGTTACTCAATTCATCAATATTATAGTTGAATTCTAGAACATTTCTTTTTCTATTCATGGTTCTGAAACATCAAAGCTTAATATCATTGAAGACTAATAATATCAAAGAAAACATAACAATACTGCAATAAAGAAAACTGTATTTAACTTTCAAAATTAGAAATAAATTAGCTTCCAACCCAGCATTCAAAGCCTAAATGAAGTTTAGAAACCGTTAATTAATTTATCCTTGCAAGACATTTTTAGCTTAAGTCAGTGAAATTGTCCTTAAAGGTGTAGGTACATTAAGAAATAAAGCATCAGTTGATGAGTTTATAGAATGATAAACAGTCTATTGAGCTTTAAAGTTCAGTGAATATATAATATTGTTTTTGGTGTGTACCAGCATTATAAACAAGATTTTTCAACACTAGAAATTGTTCATAATATAGCATTTTATTGCACAGATTATGACATGCTTTATGGCATGATTAATTGCTCCTCAGACATACAGCAAATTGTAGCAAGCCAATCATGGAGAGGTGACGATGAACTGCAAAGCTGACCACCGTTTTGAACAATTGTAAGTGCATATGACAATAACACTAACAACCATGTTGCCAACTGTAAAATTTTGCTTATGAGGTTTGTTTCCAAAATTAACACCAATTTTTTTATAAATTTATAATGCTGCTGTACAAATGTTGTGCTTGTTTATAATATTGCTTTATTACATTAGTACAAATTTGTAATCAACTCACTTATTTTCAGAACATTCACTTATGCAATAAAGCTCAACAATATACACTAGTTGAATAATATATAAGTATAGCACAATAACAACAAAACTATTGAAATGAGTTATGACATACTGACAATCAAGGTATTTGAATGATCAACTCTGGACCTTTCTGGTCGATACCATCAACAAAAGATTCCTAAAAGGTACAATGAACAAATATAATTTGATCTAGAAATCATGTTAACGTGACCCAGTGACTTATATTAATATGTATGAAATGAAACACCATCCCAAACCCTGAAACAGTATGATGTCAGTTTATCATCACAATTCAATTTGAAAATTACTGATTAGAATATAATTGATACTTTTTGGAAATGTGTTATCTGTAAACAATGCTTGTTAAAAATTCTTACAACAATGATTTTTTCTTCAACAAATCATAATATGTTTCAAGAAAACGAAAATTCCCTAGTGAAAATTAGTACACAATATGAAAAGGATAGGAATAAAAAGATTGACTAGGATAAAGATCAATACAATTACCATTTTCAGTAAAGAAGTTTTTGGATAATTAAATAATATCCTTTTTATTGCAATATATGTTATTCATCTCTAATAAATGCTTGTGCAATACTATTCACAGTCATGGCCAATTGTAAATATTTATATTGCGCTCAAAAAATGTATTAATAAATCAATAATGTAAGTATTGTTTTTACATACAAAACAATACATATTATATGTTCCCATTTTTACTATGTCATCAGCAAAATTTACCTATAATTGAGAAATGGAAGTGCTTGAAGGCCAGACAAAAGCAGTACAATGAAGGACAAAAATACATGTGATATATTATACAGACTATAATACAAAGAAATTGAGCCTAATATTTGAGCTATATATGTTTTTATTTATGGTTTTGTAAGCAAAAGATTTGTATTATAGATCAGCTTTATAAAATACATACTTCTTCTGGCACTACTTCCCCTTTAACTAAAGTCTAATACGTACATATATGTATGAATAAATATTTTAAAAGACTAATAACCCAGGAAAATACATAAATTACCACAAACTTTGTATGGTGATTTAAGATAATTACTACCACGAAGAAAAATTTTATGCAATCACAAAACAATGACTGAACTATATTGGCCTTGAAAATACAAAATTTTCTTTACAATCTGCAGGTACATTTCTTATTAACAAGTTGTTCAATGTTTAACCCAAAATCTACACTAATAGTAAATATACCATCTTATAACTGTATAAAACAAATAACTTTTACTACAGTCAAAAATGATTTCTTATTTCTCCACTAATGACTCCTCATTTGGAGGCACCAAATTTATAATTTTTTTTGTTTTTGAAGGAATACTTTATAGTAATAAATACAGATAGACCCATGCTTATGTGAGATTCATTTTGACTTGAATAATGTAGGAAATTCTTAATTTTAATTAACAAGTATTAAAACTCAACCATGAAGCCTTGTTACAGTTGAAATTTAAAATTTGCTGATATATCAAAACCTTGGAAGATAGTATATTTTACTATCAACAGTGATCTGAGTAAATTTTTTAAAGGAATACATTTTATAGACTGATTCCAGAGAAAAGGATTAAATGGTGCTGTCCTCAAAAATGACACTGACAATAATGTGATAAGAACAAAAGAAAATTCTAGTTTTACATTGAAAACTTAAATGATCCTATAACAATATAATTAACTTTGAAGACCAGTGTGCAGCAAAACTCTTTGCAGTAAATAATGATCCACTAATCATGCATTGAACAATTTATTTATCAGTCATTCCTTGATGGTAGTATAGAAGAATGTTGATTTTATGCTGTGCGTACAATTCAATATAGTTGTAACAAAAAAAGTTTCTTGCTTGCGGATAAAGTTATCAACTGGAAAAGGCACACGTTCTATTTTCAATATGGTATGCGATTAAATGTTATCTTGAAAACAAATTAAATCACTGCTGTATCAGTCAACTTCCATGTTCTGAAAAATTACTGAGCAAACAATTAAATGTGCCAAAAAGTTTTGTCTATTGGAATGTCTTATCTTGGCAGTATCTAAGATGACAACATAAATAAGTAGTTGAAACGTTGTAAGTAATATGTTAATAAGAATAAATATGTGAACGCTACCTTTCCATTCTTATTTATGTAGATTGTACAACTGTAATCTAGCCAATAAAGAAAAAGGGTTGTATATACCTTACTTAAAAAGAATTTATATTGAAGTATGTCTCCAAGTGAAACCAAAAATGATATAGGTTTCATTTTACAAGATAATTCAATATGAGCACTGTAAATGCATTTATAATACATACCATGTCAATTTTAAGAAAAAAAAAAAAAATCTTATTATAATTTGGAAGGCCTCACAGATCTCATAATTGGCTATCCTCTAACAGTTGTGGGAGAGAAAAAAAACAAACAAACATTGCCTCACACACAAAATTCTGTTATTTAAAAGAATAAACTTCAATACTCAACTATTAAAGTTATTTAAAAAACTTTCATACTCAATAAACAAAGGTAGTTAATAGTTTAAAAATATTTTTTGCATGATTGAAAACAGCACAATTTAGTTTTATATGAATAAATGTACAGTACACATGGCAGAATTCCATCAGTGTCATTTGAGGACAAGCATTTTGCCCCCACTTTAAAGTTGAAATACAATGAAATGATGCATGAGCATTAGATTTAATTAATTTGAAATTTCATAATTTCATATTAACAAAATAAAATAATTAAGTAATTATTTGGCCATAAATAATTACTGACAATACTTCGACAATTTTCTGCTTTCTGCTCCAGAGATTTATAAATGTAAATTAACCATCACACAGCAATATCACAAGTAAATTGATCATCAATAAAACCATTTTTGTTCACAATTTGTTTAAAAATATATACAACAGAACGTATTTAAAATCAAGGTCAAAGAAGAAAATATATACTAAGAATGTTATAAGTTTTACATTAGTTCAAATAAATAATGAATGTGTTTTGTACATAAGACCATATCTTCCCAATGGCATTGTATTCATTTATTAACATAACTAGCAGTATTAAATATATTATTGTCGGCTTCCAATTTTCATTCCTGCAATTTTTGAAGTAATGCAGAGAAATTTACAGAGTGCTTTTTAAGAGCATGTTTTCAAAGCCAATTTAATATCTTCCTTTCAAATGGTTTAACCTATTTACAAAAACATCACAATTTTATTCTACTCTTTCAATTACATTTGAAAATAGTACACAGAATTTGTTTATGTAATTACCAATACTAAGATAAAGAGAAAGAAACCCTGTAACAATCTTTAAAAGAGATTAATAAAATATATTATTTACAACCATGCACCCACATCTCTTCTCCAACATTATGAAGTCAACACACCAGAATAAACATGAAATTACCAGTTCTATTTAAAATTTTACAATACTGGATTTTAGAATCAACATAATATGGGTTTTTGTTGCATGATATTCAGCACTCAAAAATATACCACTCCTACATGCTGACTTGTGCTGAACATTCTCAATAACATTTTCCCAATGACTAAACTACAGAACAGGAACTTACAAAAGGACTGAGTACATACCAAAACATTTAATGATTGGTACAATTACTTCCAAGCAGATAGAATATTACACAACCATCAACTTGATGAAAAATACAAGTATTCACAGTAATAAAAAATTAAAATTCATATAATACAATTGGTACAATAAATTATTACATTATTTCTTGTTTCCTTCTGGAAAGAGGAGTAAGACAGCATATAGAAGAGTTTAAACTATTTAATATGACATGATATGATGCATTCATCACACTAATAGTGGACTACTGGAAGTTCTTTTATGCAAGAACACAAAATAGACAATAAAGTTATTTGAATAAAAATAAACAACTCTTGAAGAAGAAAAAAATTATAATCCAAATAATATAAATAAATATAACAAAAAAATTGTACAATATACCTACAGTAAAGATTTAAAGAAATTATATCTAATTTGGTCATTACATTAATCACGTCTTTGGATTTAAATGCTGGTGAGACACAAACATTACAAAGAATTAGCAACATTTACTTACAGACAGAATATTAAAAAAAGTTCCTATCGATATTTAATGGTGCCAATAATGTATGCATATAAGTTTAGCTTTTAAAAAAATGGAAAATGCTATTCTGGAATAGCAATAAATATTTCCCTATATTTTCCTATAAAATAAGTTCTTTTTGATAGCAAATATGATTCAAAAATATAACAAGCTTTTCGGAGCACTGCAATGAAAAAATACATCACAGAAAATATCTGACAATATAGCAAATCAGTTACTACAGCACTTTCTTTGTTTCCAACTGGAAATAATGTTACAAGACAGAAGTTATGAGTCCCACAACCTTCTCAACATGTCACCAGCCATCATATAAGGATGAATGCCAGAAGAAATGTGCACTAAATGCATAATTTCTAGTGATAACAGAAAGTAAGGTTTACATTTTTCAGACAGGAGTGCCAAAATCAGGATCACCAAAACCGTCCAACAATCTATCTTGATTGATTATTTTCATATGTTGTACAGAGTGAGTAGGACTATTGCCTACTGCTAAAACTGTAGGGGTTTCTCTGCGCCGAGAGCTAGAGGATTTGCGAGCACCTCCTGTTTGTTCATCATCAAAACTACTGCCAGTACTACTGCTGTGAACAAGACGTTGTGCTCTCCCACTTCGGTGGCCTTTGTCAGTTAATCGCAACCCATAGTGATGACTGCTTCTGCTACCTTTCTTGTTTTCAGGCACTGGCTTTATTTCTGCACCATTTTGTTTCGAAGCTTCCTTATGATGGACAGATTTCACAACATTTGCTTTTGTTACATTTGGAGACTCAGTAACTTCTATTTCATTTTTCACAATAACTCTCTCTTTAGGAGTGGATGTTTTTGGTGATTCTTCACCTGTTTGGTGATTATCCAGAAGTGATTTTTCTTCAAATTTAATGCTGGGTGATTTTTCCATTTTTCTTTTATCAGCTTTCATATTATTCCACTCATTTTTGTTCAGAGGTTTTTCATAAACATCATTTTCAACCTGCAATTCTTCCATAGATTTTATTAATGGTGGATTATTGTTGTTCACAGGTTCATCCCCCGCATCAGAACTCTGACTCCGTAAGTCCGATACTGAAGAAGTAGAGCTTGACTTTCCAAATATCTGCTGCAATGTTGAAATACCAATATTTCGTGATGTTTTTTGATTATTTTTATCTTCATTATCACAGACAATTCCTTTGTTGTTATTTGGTGTGGAAGGAACTGATATGCTGGTTTCAGTACTATCATAATACACTTTATTAGATTGTTCTTTCAATGGGCTTTTAGGAGTGGGGCTTTTCAATAATGATTCTTCAGAATTTGATGTTTGTCCTCCATCAGTGGAGATGTGCATAGGTGAATACGGAGACTGTTCAGTGAGAGCAGTGGAGCCGTTAGCATCAGACTGATAGCTCAAGGAGTTGGTGGAACAGCTTACTGTTGATCTCTGGGCGGAAGCAGAGGACGGGTGATTGGAGGAATCCTGCTGGCTCTGCCTTTCTGTTGGCACATTGCTGGCAGAAGCAGGAGTAGGACTGTCAGGTAAGCTGCAATCAGATGAATTCCTGAAGAAGAAAGTATCATTTGTAACAGTGTCAAAGAACTGTCAAAGATGTGTGAAACATTTAAATAGTAGAATTGAAATTAAATTGTTTTATATAGAAGATAGTAATAAAATATTAATGATTGCATTATATTTTTAAAAGAAAGATAAAGAAAAACTTTTGCATACGCTGCTTACTCACTCACATGTTTCCCTTTTTTGGCATGGGTTGCAAGGGCAATTCATTGTTCTTCGGCTCAGCTTGTATGGATGTCCGCGCACGCGCACGCACACACACACACACACACACACACACACAAAAGCAAACACACGCACGGGCACACACAAACAATGTCTTGGCGCTAGGCGCTGAGCAATGAAGTTCATAAAGATGTATGGGGAAGGACACACAAGACGGTCATGGGTAAGTTTATAAAGTCACATACCCAGTCTCCAGCTTGTCTTAGCATTGTTTGGAGAATTGTGACAACTTTATTCCCACACCACTCTGGCGAACTGACAAACATCATCATGCTGCAATCAGATAGTATCCCCAACGTCGCCTTCAAGACTGTGCTATCCATTCATAGTGAAGTACTCATGGACTCCTACGTCATATGACTAAGAGAAGGGATATTTGCTGAGAGAAGGAAGAAACAACAATTAGTGCTTCTTCCAAAGGAGAAAAAACCTCCTGAAGAGCCGACATCTTACCGGCTGCTGTGCATGATCGATACCGGAGGTAACGTTTTTGAGCATATCATTAGTTCCAGATTAGAAGATGCAGTAGATAAACAAGGTGGAGTCTCATTGAACCAGTACGGCTTTCACAAGGCTCGTTCAACAATCGATGCTGTAAGCTTGTCGTTGTCACTGCCCATCAGGCCATTAGAGGGAGCAGGTGGAGGTACTGTGCAATTGGAACAGAATGTTTTTATCTCAGCAAGATATAGTGACATTCATAAGGCACTCCATCAAAACAATCTAAGAATTCCACATTTCATGTATGATGAGGTACTTAGGACTCCCACTCACAGAAGGAATCAAGATTATAGGCTTCGCAGATGACATTGCCATTGTCGTCCCAAAATGTATAGAAGAGATAAACGTGCATTTGCAATAAAGCCATTGCCATCATCAAATGTTAGCTGGATTACGCAGGATTGCAGTTTGCTGAACATTAGACAAAAGTGCTACTTTTAACTAGCAGAAAGAAGAGAGAATCCATCACACTCAAAGTTGGTCATCACAAAATTTCATAATGCGATAAAATACCTTGGCATCATGTTTGATATGCGCTTGTTCTTTAGAGACCACTTGGACCATGCCAGCAAAAAAGCGGCTATGGTGAATGCAGCATTGACTAGGTTAATGTTGAAAACTGGAAAGCCTAGTCATGAAAAGAGAAAGCCACTTGCCTCAGTCGTCACATCGATTCTGCTCTATGGTTCACCAGTTTGGGCTAACTCTACAGATACGAAGAGCAACATAAGAGGAATGACTTTAGTACATCAGTTATCTGCACTCAAAGTTGTATTTTGGTTCCGAACAGTTTCCAATGAAGAAGTTTACATCACACACAGGATAATCTCAATAGATATAATGGCCCATGAACGTCAGAGGCGTTACGACAAAAGAGACGGCAAGTAGAACTGTTCGGAACAATTTGCAGAATGGCAACAGCAAGTGACACGTCCTCCAAGGGAAGATGGACATACCAACTGATTCCTACAGTTGAATCACGGATCAGTCGAAAGCGTTGCGAGGTAAATTATTACCTCACGCAGCTTCTAAGGCGATTTGGTTGCTTCAGAGCCTACGTTCACAGGTTGAACTGGATAATTCTCTACATTGTCCTATGTGCAAACCTAATGTCAAGGACGCCGAAGATGTGATTTTTTGCGTGTTCGCATTTTGATCCTCAATGACGACACTGCTGAGACACTTGGTATAGGCCAGATGACTCCAGAAAACATAGTTGCATGCATGATTGTTTCTGAAATTGAAGGTCGATGTGCAAATTTGCACAAGTCGTATTGCTGGAATTGAGATGCATAGAGGAAGAAAGGAGAGATTACTCTGATTGCATACTTTACTAACTTCATGTAACTGGTACCAGTTACATGAAGTAATGAATGAGTTCATGAGTTATGAGTGTAATGAAATGTGGTCAGGCCTGCCCGGAAAACATTTATCTGGGCCCCTTTTATAAAAACGTAAAACCAACACAAGAAGTGTTAGTACCTTAAATAATAAAAATATCCCCTAAAAATGGGCCCTCCTTTACCCTGGCCCACCCGCACTGCAGATCCGAACCTTACACCACCTCGTCACTATTCCACTCTCTGCGATGTAATGCCTAAAGGCGGCTCCAAGGGGAGGATGGAGGAGAAGGGAGGTTTGTTCTAGTGAGTAAAAATCTCACACTTCGGGTAGCACAGGCTATCCAGCGTGTTTTGAAGATACGCACGCACACAGAAATCCACACACTCATTTGTACACAGAAATCCATACACACCCTACCTGCTCTGGAGATTTGGTGATTCTGGTGTTCGTGGAGCAGTAGGTGTTGTAATTAAGGCACAATTATTCTGGTTATTGTGGTAGCCATTGTGCAGAGGGTGTAAGCTAATGGCATCACTTCCATCAAGCACCTCATCATCAAAGAAGCGATATCTATAAACAAGACAAACATTGGGAAAGTTCATTAGAACCAGCAACAGGACTAAAAGGACCATGTTTGGGTCTCCGTTCCATTTAGGTTCCCAAATTAAAAAAAACAACTATTAAGTCAATTATCCCTTTCAAAAAGTTTGAAGAAAAAAATTGTAGAAGCTTGAGAGAGAAAATAGGTGTTTCTGAAAATACGGAATCTTCAGCTAGTTTTCATAGAAAACAGTAGTTTTCGAGAAATTTTATATGATATTATTTAATGCATATGTACTCACAAATGTAATAATGTGAACAAATTGCCGCTAGTGTAAATATTAATGACACGAGAGACAAGTCAAAAAAATACATTTTTGTCTTCTTTGGAAAAACAAAAGAATAGAGCAATATCTCATTTATGTCATCTTACAGAGTGCATTTAGCACAATCCCTACCAAAAGTTTAAAGAAAAAAAATTGGAGTCGATTTTGAGAATATCATGTTTTAGAAATTTTTTAAAACTGCAAATTATGCACGCAATATTGCGAGAAAAGGAAACCATAAAACTCAGGGGCCGCAACATCTGCCAGATTGATTGAGGAATATGAATTACAGAGAAAATCGGCTAAGCGTTTTAGCTGCTAGCGTTGGCCATGAATTGTCAATTAGGCGTATTGCCATTAATCTTGTGACTTCAAATTAACTTCTCTCCATAGAACGTCATACAGTTTTTAACTGTTTTGATGTAAATAGATAGATAGATACATACATACATACATACATACATACATACATAAATAAATAAATAATAGATTTTTCGGAATCGATGACCCACAAAACTGATTCTGACTGCACAATATGTTAGAGGACTATATGTTACTCTCTGTATACAGCGTAAGCAGCAGCGAGAAAGTAAAAATAATACAATAGAATTATTGAAAGTCAGGAAAGGAAAATTTAGCGACAAACAAGTGTAGAAATGAAACTACGTTTTGGCGAACTTGGTGAGAATCAATGAATTACTAATGGTAAAGAAAGTTACAAACTTAATGTACACAATGAAGGCTATATATTGCCATTAATGAGTTTCAGCAACAATTTGTTGGATTGACCCATACAGTGGCATTTTGAACAGTAATTCAGGTGCAAGTTTTAATAGCTCTTTTGACAATGAAATTTACAGACAAGCAGAAAAACTTCATTAATAATACCCTGCAGATGTTATGGAAAACTTGTTGCCTCAGTTATTGCCTTTGCACATTTGTTTAACAAATGAAATTTCAAAACTAAGTTCTATTAAAGATCTTGCAAACTTATTAATAACACATTGCTCATTATTAACAAGTTTTCCCCGTGGGTGAACAGTACAGACAATACTTTTGACACAATGTGTAACAGTCTTATCAATTGAGCACAAATAAAATAAAATAAAATCTATCGGGTTGTTTTCACTCCTAAAATTTAATTTATAGGCACAAACTTAAATTAATGACATGTCCTTAATTAAAGGGGCCCCTATGTAGTGTCTGGCCAAGGGACCTCTCTGTTGAACTTATGCCACTGATTAGAACAGAGAATTTTTCAATAATCACACATGATTCAATTTATTACATACTTGAACCCATACAAATCTTCACCTAACGAATTCTCTTCATCACTATCTTCTGCAGCAACATATTGCACCTCTAATGTGATGTTTCCAATCTGAGTGGATAAGATTTCCACTGCTTCTTGATGACAAGCCTACGAAACAAAAATGATACACATTATACCATTGTTTTGCAATAAGACAATAATGCATTTGACTATTGTGGTATTGATGTCCCATTGTGTATTAGGTTACTTATATCATAAAGGTCCATATGTTATTTAACAATCATTGTCCTATCCTATTCTTCATTGTCCGAGTTTTAAAGTGACACATGAAAACACAGCCGGGAAAGAAATACAGTCAGACAGGTTAACATAAAGCAACCTTTCCACTGTAAAGAATCAGAAAGTGAGCTGCCGCTGCAACCTGTAAATAACACACAATTGTTCCCTGACCGATGTAAAGACATGGTCGTGAGCCCAGATACTCTTTAATAATAACAATTGTAATTGCCACAACTATGTTATACAAAATTTAAATTTTCTTTTTACATTTAAGTTTTTCTTTTTTCCCCTTCCATTGGAGATTGGTGCTGAGATGGTCCATTTGGAAGCGTCACAATGAATACTAAAAAGATGCAATAAGATAACTAGAAACTGATGCATTTAATAAAAAGAGAAACAGTTGAAGGTGCAAGGGTGGAGGAACAACGTGTTTATTTCTAAAAAATCCCAGGAACTATGCTAGTAGCAGACCTGGGAAGAATAAATAAAGAAACAAAGCAGCATTTAGGAAGGATACACAGTCACTCGAACTCTGGGTTTTTAATAATGAAAATCTTTTATAAATGAATGAATGTTCATATATTTGGATAAGACAAGTGAAGGATATAAGAAATGGGTGATTACACAAACATTTAGACAATAAAATTTTAGGAATTTGTAAAAGGGGAAGGTATTACAATGAAAAAATTGTGGAAACCAAAAGACATCTAAAATTGAAAAATAAAAGTGTACAGCAAGTTTGACAGAAGAGAAGAGCTGTCCTTTTGTTTTGAGGGCTTTATGTTGTTGTGTTTGTCAGTTCTCAGCAAGCAAAAGAAGGATTCTGATTAGTGGGAAGAGCAAATTAAATATTAAGACTTAATGTGTGAATGAACACATTTTATCAATAGAAATAAACATACCCATTAGGAATTGTTGTTGTTGTTGTTGTTGTTGAAGGCATATTAGCTGAATATTGTTTTACATTGTAAAGAATGTAAGGTTGTTATAATGAATTTAGCCAATGCTTAGTGTTGCTGCAAGAGTCTGTTAGAATACTGATATCATTACACTGGAGAAAGTCGTCTACATACAAATCGCAAATAAAACATAAAAATAATTGTTACCTGCTTCAAGTCAATTCCATTAACAGTGAGAATTGCATCTCCTACATAGAGAGCTCCACTCCTAGCTGCAGGGCCATCAGGTTCAAGTTCCGAAATAAGAATTGGAACTCCATGCTCTCGACCACCCTGAAAAACATACAAATGGGAAAATCAGCAGTAAGCAGCATTAGGCATTCATTACAGTTGCTACCAGGCAGAGGTGATATCTAATAAGATGCCTGCATGCTGCTCTCCAGGAAGCATAGCACTTAATTAAATCTCTTGATATATTACCCATTAAGATATACACGCATGTCGATAGTCCTAAGGTGGGTGCAGTGAGGACATGATGCTAACTGGTAACTTAGGGTGGCCCGATAACCCACCACTATGAACTCTAAAAGTGTATTTTGTGCATGTGAACCCCTTAACCAAAGTTTATGGATGTACCAAATCTGCTAGAGATTTATTTCCATGCTGGATAATTGACATATACTTTATATAGAGCACAAAGTCTTATTTTAACCATCCCGATTTCCAATGACTTCATTTTACTGTCTTCCTATTTGTCTAGAAAGTAAAATAACATGCTGTTTTCTGCATGCTATTCAGATTTTCCCGTTGTAAATTTCTTTAAAGGTCCTAACAAATCATTTCGTATTCCATTAAGTCAGTCATTTAATACTTCTGACATAATTGAACATTATTCCTGAATTCTCTTCAGAAATAATTAAATGAAATTGATTCTGCTGAGGAAAGAGGGAGTTGTGACAGGACATCACTCAAACAATCGTTCATTAGTGATCCATTCAGCTCACAAGGTCGTCAAAGCATCTTCTAGAAAGCACATTTCTAACTACTTAGAATGCCTCTCAAGATTCTGACCAACGAGAATGCTTAATTTGGGGCTCCCAGATATACTACATGGTTACGATTTAGAAACATGTGAGACGGCGCTAATACGTAGGTGGCCAACAGATAGCGCTATGCCTTGCGTGTTTGAAGAGTGTTGATAGAACAAAGAATGACTAAGTGCTCGTTCAAATGAATTACTGTAGAGAATAGTTACTTGCATAGTACATGAAAGTCCAGGAGGCTCGGGGCCCCCAACCCCTCTTCTCACTACATCAACCTTGTCGCTATCAATATGAGTATCGCCGAGTAACTACGGTCCTGGTGAAAGTTTCTAGCATCTACCAAAGAGCATAAATGCCTTTGGCATGAAATGCTTGAAGTGCATGGGCATAATTTTTGAGCCTAGAAGGTCGAGATGAGGAACTCCAGGGGTTAACAATATCCTTTGTAACACTTGGTTTAAAAGCGGCATTGGGCCAGTCTTCAGACAATGATACTACAATGGCCTAACATCAGACAATGGTACTACCATATGGGCCTTCCGCGTAGCCGATTTTGCCGCCTGGTCGGCCAGCTCTTTCCCTGTGATTCTCATATGGCCTGAATCCCAACTGAGCACGAGATTATAGTGGCGAGAGAGATGTCGGTGAATTTGGTTTTGAACTGATTTCATCAGCTAGTCTGAGGAAGAACGGGAGACAGCTTAAAGTGAACTGAGAAAATCAGAACATAGTACTCGCCACAATGTCGCTGTACAGTTGACTCTGGTTATAATGAACTTCTGGTGACTAACATTTATGTTCACTCTATATCTGATGATGTCAAAATTAAATAGAATTTATCCATAACGATTCAATTTATTAATGAAATTATAGAGATATAGCAAAATTCACAAGGTTTTTTCTTCTTTCTTTTTTGAATTGATGCCTTATTTTACGTGGCGAGACTCGGGCCGTCAGGCCCGCTCTTCCGTCTGACCACGCAAATTCCGCTACGCTCCTTTCACCAACTAGGAGAGAAAGGAGGTATTTCTTGGGCGGCGAAATATGCGATTTGAATTTAGCTCAGAGGCGTCGTTTAGGCTTGAGGATATTTCACATGCAAGTAAATCTACTAACATGGGACAGCCGGCATTACTTCCCTTAAAAATCCAAAGCTTTGATCGGGTTTGCCGCCGCCGATTTGAATTGTTTACTTCATTGCTTCACGCATTTTTCATTAGTACTTTCGACAGATCCTTCTCAAGTTTGTGTTCTTACCATATTCAATTGTGCATTGTCCTCTGTGATTTAGTATCGTAACACAGTCTTGACACCCTTCAACGCCTCTTGCACTTTGACACCATCCCACTCTCCGAAGGCCATTTTTTTTTTCGCCAAATTACATACATGTTCTCGGTAGCGGGATGAGGCCAACGGGTTGTGAAAGTGGTCGCTTTTCCGCCTGGCAGGGCGGATATCGCCCGGATGTGTCAGTCGCGTACGTAGAACTCGACGCACTTGAAACCGAAGCAAGCAATCGCACGTCGCCGCCGCCAGTTGGAGCTCATGCACGACATGGCCTTTGTTTCTGCAGTGAAAATGAGCGGGAAAAGGCCTTCAGTAAGATCTCCCATTCCGGGTCCGCCACCTTCACGCCAGGAGATGCATCTTCGATTACGACCTTTGGCCGACGAGGTTTTTTTCAAGCTGCCTAATTTGTGGCACTGGCGATATATTCCTTTCTAGGAGGGTATTAATTTCCGGGACATATTTCCTACGTTCACTATAACCGAATCTTCTTATACTTATTTGCAATGTAAGTGAAACGGGACCAGTGACTTAAGTTCACTATACCCGAAGTCGACTTATTTTAGGTCTTCGAAAGTTGTACACATTTCGGCAGTAAATATACTGCACTGAAAATGCCGATATGATAAGGTGAGCCTGGTACAATAAAAGCTACATGCCACTGCGTCATTGTATGATGAACCATCTGTGTACATGAAAATATCATGAGAGACTTCCCTCATTTCCTGAAACTGCATCTCATAAACAAGGACTAGTAATTTGTTTGAGAAAGTTTGAGAGTCTGAGGTCAATATTGGGGCGGAGGAGCTTCCAAGAGGGAATGGGGTCCCTTGTACGTTTAGATTTAGATTTATTTAGTCAAAAAACAGTTCGTGGCGTATGGGGGAGAAGATCATCTGCGCACGTTTTCTTGAGTTCCAGAATCCTTTCCTATCATTTTAACTATAAATAGTTGAAGAATGTGTAAACGTTACAGATAAATAAATAAAAATAAATTTAAAAAAGCATGAGATTAGCAATACTTGAAAAAACTAGACATTTTCGTTCCAGAATTATAGAAAACTGATTTGAAACGGTAAATGAATTGCATAGATTTTTCTGCATTGTTAACAGAATAGTAACTCACCCTTACCTCTACTCCTACCACTACAAGCAAAAGGTGAGTTCAACAAAACGTGCGCATAGTGAAGCTATATTTTACAGGGGTTTCACAGGGGTGGGACGACCGACATTCAGGTCCCGCATATTATTTCGAAATCGAATACCTTGGGGTTGAGGTAGCGATGTTCGAATAATATGAGGTCTCATATTCAGGATGAATAATTATTCGGCGACAAGTTTAGTTAGAGTCCTGACACTTTAGCACCATACGACGCTAATAGAATGTCCCGCCTTCTTGTTGAGGATGGCTCCCCAACCCCAGCTACAAGGCACTAAATTCGGCTGGTGCGATCCGCATCTGTAAGAGGCGGATACGAGCGTGGTGTATGCTGTTGAGTCGGGGAGTGGAGGGAGATACAGAACCACACACTTCACTACCGTAATCCAAACTGAGCGGATAAGCGCTCTTTATAACCGCAACAGGGAAATGCGGTAGGCTCACCATGATGTGCCACTCAGCAGAAGCGTAAGGGGGAGACTCATCTGGTTCGTAGTCTGCGGATTTGCGCACGACAGGGACTTGTCAAATAGCCCCAGACTAGTATAGGAAAAAACGAAGGTAATACACAATTGAAGTATTTGGGAGTCACACTAACAGCAGATGGGAGAGATGAACAAGTTGTGAAAAATAAATATAAATAAGAGGAAAAATAGTCACAAGACAGTTAATTCCAAGGCTGTGGAACTTGATTATTTCAATGAAGACAAAGAAACGCATATATAGCTCCTTCGTAGAGAGTACAACACACTATGGGGCAGTCTGGACAATTAAAAAAAATGGAAGACAAACTTAAAGCAACAGAAATGATGTTCCGGGGAAGATGTTGTAAACTTTCTCTGTTAGACAAAATAAGAAATAAAATGAAAGAGCAAACAATCTTGAACGAGACGATTGAAATGAAACAACTAAAATGGTATGGCCATATGAGAAGGTTGAAATCTGATAGACTTCCACAAAAAGTTTGGGAATGGATGCCCAATCGAAGAAAATACTGGTGAAGACCGAAACGAACATTTTCAAAACATGACATAATTTTTAAAACAGTTTACAGCGTCTGCGTTATTAGTATGTATTCGAAACAAGCAACAGTGTCCCATAAAAAAATGCCTTAGAAAACTTTGATAAAACCACAACAACGTAAACTGAAAAACAGTTCCATTTTTTGAAAATATTTTTGGGGCTTCATGGAAAGAACTTCCAAAAATCAAAATAACTCTTTCAAATTCGGAGGACCTGGAGTATGTTCAGATTGATTAGGGAATATCAATTTTGAAAAAATCATCCAAACGGTTTAGGTGTTAGCGTTGACCACATAGTCAGATGTTTTGGCATCACTTTTTAATAATCAGGAAACACCAATCGTGTATTCTGTCAACACAAGGTGATACACGAAATAATTTATAATATGGAAGAACAAGATTTGCACATTTTTCATTACCAGTGTCCAAAATACGAGTTTTTCCGACAAAAAATCGCCGGTCACTACAGTATTACAATACTTTCTCTTTTCCACATAAATGCACAAAAGCTAGGAAGATAAATGACTCTCATTAAGTTGGAAATGCGCAACATTTATTGGCCCAGGACCAAATTAACTACTCTTTAGATAGTCAAAATAAAGAATCTGATTCAATTTTATCTCGCAGGGAACGTTACTCGACTTTTTTTAATGAAATGCTCATAATAAAAAGAACTAAAATTTCTGCAAGGCATTACAGTAATAGATATCCCGAGCCCTTCTCCTGCTTCGCGCTGCACAGTGATGATCCGCGGCGCCCCGACTCCTTGAGGGCCCCTGCTGGCGGGGGCGGCGGCCGGCTCCGGCTCCGGGGGCGCGGGGCCCGTGTTGGAGCGGCTGCGACAAGCTCGAATGACCGTCTTGTGCCGGTGGAGGAGGATTTCCGCTTCGAGCTGTCGCCACAGCTTGTCTCGCACTTCGCCGCGCATCTCCCGCCCCAGCAACTGCAGCTGCTGGATCCTGAAGCAACAAAGGGAACACGACGACACCAAGTTAGGCATTGTTCACGCACTTTTCTTTTCAGTTATTAGTCGAGTACGGAAAATATGTGGTATGAAAGAGCAAAATATGTACATAAAGAATATTGCTAAATAACGAGGTGAAAAGTGACCCCAAATCAAATCGATAATCGCGATACTCATATGAAGGAATAAAAAAATGCGGTAGATTCACAACAAATCAGCCTGTAAGGGCAATTTGTTGCAGAGATACAATGAAAAACGTGTTTTTCACGTTCTTTTTCTTCTTCTCAGTTTCTATTGCATGTATCTGCCTAAAAAAATTGCAGACACGGAGAAAAATAGTTGATTTTGAAAGTATTTTTGTAAACTAATTTTGGTGCCAAATTTAAATAGAATAAATAAAAACGTTTTTGGATATTGGAACTGATTTTCGTCTTGATAACGTTGGAGTACTAACTCAGTTCTTTTTTTCTAGAACGCGTCTCATAATATTCTATACCATATATTTGTTTCAAATTTTTAAACAAAGTGCTTGATAGTGAAAAGAATTAAAACTACTTTTATGAATTTAAAAATGTGATCGGAAGGGGTACACACGGGGCACAGAAGACGGTGGTGCTAACTGGAGAAAAAACAACCGAAAAGCTGGCCAAATGTGACCAGTTAAAAGAGGTCAAACCAGTTCATATATTGCCGTCAATTTCGAAAACGTGAGTTTACTGACCACGTTTTGACATCGTATCAAAGTTCACTTCTCATGGATGTGACTCGAAAGATGTTTGTGAGCGCATTCTAGCGCATACAACTTCGTTCAATGAGCATAAAATGGTCCAAAAACCCTGGAAGCAGATGTTCAGTGGAAATTAATTTGACAATCAAAACGCAAAGCTCAATTTAACTTCGACCTGTAAGCCAATAATTACATCTGAAAAAATTATGTTATTCTTGAAAGTGTCTTTGTCAAACATTAATTAAATTAATTAATTATAAGACTGAACAGTGCATATGACTTGCATTAATTATTTTGTACACTGTAAGTATATAATAACAACGTGTACAACTATGGTTTTCCTTTCAGGATACAATCTTTAGTTGTTGATTTTTATTAACAATTTAACTTTCATGACGGGAGACGTGTGCAGAATGTGTTACCAGTCACGGCAGCGGAAAGTTTGAAAGCCACTGCGTTAGATAATGAAACATGAAAAAGAATACGATTTACTGCGGCAACTGATTGAATGTATGGGAATAATACATACAATTCCACAAAAATTATCAGTACATGTATTTTTTTTTGTTCGATTTTTAAAATTATTTTTAGTTATAAAGTGAGTGACGTTAGGAGGCGAGAACCCCAATTTTAAAAAAAAGATAAATATTTTAGTGAGAAAGTGAGTGAAGAAGACAAGGTATTTCCAAGTGGGAGCAAGGCAGGGAGAGGTTGGGCAAGACGGAGTGGGGATACAATAGGATCGGTACAAGTAAGTTCCGCGGCAGGGCAGGAATAGATGAATTACCTCTTCCTGTCTAATAAATTATTGTGATAAATACCCCGGCAACGCGGGTTATACTAGTGCTTATTGCGAAAAAATACAAAAAAAAAAAAATACCTACATTAATCATTCATAGTATTATTTCTGTATTTAGTACATAGGTTGCTCTTCATTTAAGTCCTTTGATACAACGACATTTTTTGTTTATTATCAGGCGCAAAACAAAAACGCATGGCTCCGACCGTGAACATGCCACGTATAACTTGACATGGAAAAAACATGAATGTTCTAGATTTAAACTTTAAGAAACTTTAACAAAACTTTATTAGATTGGCTTTGATTTGTGATTGTCAATGGAAAATGAAGACGTATCGAGAATTTGAAGTCTTTTTATATTCCAACACATATTTGGGTCACGGTTTCCTCCGGAATGAGAACTTTCTCAGCCTTTGATTTTCCTATCATTATCGTAGCGTATTACATTGTTCTCATTTCTAGCAGCAAACTCGGTACGTTGCACAGTTTTGTTGGTTTAATGTTTCGAAGGCATGATTCAGGAGCCAACCTTTAGCGTAAATTGTGCGTGGTAAGACAGGAAGTTCAAAGAGTTTAAAAATTCAATTGGGATAGTTAGTGCTTCATCTTCATTTTGTGACGCAGTCAATAGATTGAATGAAGCATTGTTCAATGATTTATTTGGATTTATGTAGTTTAAGGTATCTACATCTTTATTCTAGCGCTAAAATTGCTCGTCACTCAAACCATTCATTATTGTGTAGTTAGAAAAATTTCTGGAAATATTGCTTGAAAGTTCGTCTTTTGATGGAAACAAAATTACAAGAAATTATTTGGAATGATATTAATCCGCTCGATTCATCGACAGGTATCTGACCATTACGATAGTCCAGCAATTGCTCCAGAAATCTTCAGCAGATGTATCATTAAGCAAATGCTAACTCTCAGTTGTATTGTCAGTTGCAGTTTCTTCACATAGCGCCA